ACAGACACCATTTCCCATAAGCCCTAGACATTCCTAGGCGACGGGTCAAGGTTAACTCACACATCTGTAATAACAGTGGCACAGAGACTACTGAACTCTGTAGATCTTTTTAGACTTTAGAGATTACAATTACAAAGATGAAAGAATGAGAGCGTTGGTGAGTTTTATGGAAATGGACAAAACCTTTGTACAATGACATAATTACCTGCGTTGATACACTTTTAATTGTATTTCATCGGAGCTGTAGTTTTTTCTGTGCCGCCAAAGCGTTCGCATTCCTTATAGCAAGGGTAGAAGTGGATGCCGATTTGTCGTAGAACATGGAAAGTAAACCTCAGGAATGCACTTCATTTTTATCACAAAGACTGATGAAAGAAATGCTAAATGAGAGATCGCATTTAGTTACAGAAGCTAGTAGGGGAGACGCTGGCTTGGATATAATGAGTAAATGGCACAACACAGAAGAAATACAAAGAAAATATTGTAGCTGACTAGCGCTCGCATGTTCAGGCTCATTACAATTTTAGCAGTTAGCTTATGAGTACACCTATGAGTATGTGTCACCAAGCTTCAAATATTTTGCAAGGATTCACAGATGAATTGTGCTGTGTTACTCCTGGTATGACCAGATCTTTATGAGGACAACGTGGATGGAAAAATATGTTGCTGTTGAATTTTCAATGCTGTGAACACCACAATCAAAATTTGATTCACCTCCGTAGCAGGCCTATAGAGGTGGTAGCAGAACACTCCACACCAAAAGACCAAAACTCTGGATAGTTACCATATCTGATTTTGGTAATTTGGGTGAACCAACTCTCTGCGTGTGTTTCTATGTGCTTATATACGTGCATGTGATTTCTCATTTATGCATGTAAAGGGAGTGGAAAAATCACAGCAGGAAGAAGATCAGACTTATGATCACAATACAAGCCCCGTGCACAGGAGCTCCCTGCGCTAGGATCCCATCTGTCCCATAAAGAAGCTACTGCTGGCAGATGCCTCCACTGTGCTTTTTTTTATGAGGGGGGGGGCAAAGACAGAGACATGTGTTTTCATGCACTGGAAAGAAGGTGTGGAGACTACCTGAAAGTGCAGACCTAGACTAGATCCATCTACAGGTCTGCCATGAATGTTTTAATGAGCAGTTTGTGAATGCCAAAGTCTTGAGCCTCGACAAGCTTGATGAGAACCTACATTTAAAAAAAAAACAACAGAAGCTGTTTTTCTTCCTCTCTTTTGTCTTCACTTGTTCTGTCTATTTTCCATCTGGCTCCCAGGATATTTTCTCATTATTATTTCATTGTCATTTGATGTACATTCAAAGTTCTAGCTACATGTGTTTACAGTTTTGATATCTCCATATGTTTTTGATTTAAGAAACAACGATGTTGATTCCCTCAGGGTGCACTCCAAGGACATAAATTTCATTGTTCAGAGTACAGATGAGTCATGTATGGGTGGTGTTTTCTTTTCCTCTCTGATGTTGTACAACGAAGGCAAAGCTTTAATTATTATTCTTCCAGGTTAATTATCTGATTATTGCTTTTCTTGAGAAGAAAAGAATCACTGCTTTTCTATAAATGGATTGTGCTGTGTTGGTCTACAGTGGAAACAACATAAGTCTTTCTTGTCTTTATTTTCTTTGCTTTGTGACGAGCTTCAGCTGGCCAAACCAAGCCTTTCATCAGAGGTTTCCATGCACCGTTCATTCACGCAGCCTCCCCTCAGTGCAGATCACCAACAAAAGCTCTGTGTGGCAACCTTTGGAAAACGAGTGGGTGAGGCGACTCTCTCATGAGACGCACTGCAAATATTAATCTAGGTTCAAGACGGTAGTTAGCTTTTGTTCCTATGAAACCTGTTCAGAGCACATCGGCCGGCTTCGCTCCAGCAGTGAGCTTTGTGAACGAGTGCTATCTTGTTTAAATCTCCCCACCCCCCTTCCATCTCACACACACACACACACACACACACACACACACACACACACACACACACACACACCTTCAATGCTTGTTTCATCCTTTCCCACCTGCAGACCGACCCTCCCTGGTTATCAGCCATGTATCCCTCCCTGTTTCCGCCTCCTCCACAGCTTATCTATAATATACTGTGTATTTACATTGAACACCACACTGGCATGCTTGGGTTTGTCTGACATGATCCAGGAAAAGTCTGTCTCCTTGACAGCCACATAGGCACCCTGTAATTAGACTCCCCTCATTTCTCTTTAAGCCTCATTTTCACCTCCTCTTCTCTTGCTTGCATTTTCTCTCTTCTTTTCTTTCTTCCTCTGTCTCTCTCCATTCCCCTGCCCCTAACTTATCCACCCTCCTCAGACCAACCCCGTGCTGGAGTATAAATCAGCCCCAGGGACAGGTGGACATCTGCCAGCCGTGAGGAGATCCAGGCAGGAATGTGATCACTGATGCAGCTCAGAGAAACATTTAAATCCTGGCACACAAGAAGAAGACTCAGCTTTTCCCAAAACCCCTTGCTCCAGTCCCTAAAACTCCTCATCATCGATGAAGTTGACAGAGAGGGATATTGGAGAGATGCCTTCCACCTTCCTTTTTGCTTTGTTTGTTTCCAGGATTTAATTTCATTTAGTGTTTTTTTATGGGAAGATAGGGTAAAGCAGAAATTTGAGAAAAAGGCAGTGGGAGGATGTTTGATTTTGAGTCATCAGCCTGAAAGCCCTGTGGGTGCAATATGAAATGCAATTTCAACTGAATTGAGTCTATGACAAGATTTTGCAGCCGCTCATGGGCAGGCTGCTCTGGTTAGCGAGCGGGTTAATGAGTGAAATATGTGGGATTAAGACCAAGATGTTCTTTCAAGTCCCAGCAGGGTGTAGCGCAATAACAGCTCTGCTCTAATGTTGACCCTCTGGAAGAATAAAATGAACTCTTGATTTCATTGCTCTTAGCTTTCCTTCCCCATTTTCCCATGAAGAGTAGTTGCAACTTTAATGAAAAATGTCACCATGCCTCCCAGAGTGCATGGCTTTAATAAAATTTGGTCAAGACAGAGCTTGGTGGCCACAAAGATTTACAGCTTAGCCCACTGAGATGGTATAAGGCTCTAACAGTAGAGGAAGAGTTGTCAGTAAAACTGGTTGGGAAATATCACAAGCACAAGTGCAGAGCATGTGCTGCAAATGTATGTGAAATGTTGCAACATTCAGACACTAGAAAAATAACATTATTGTCAGTGTTGCCTGAGTTGTGTGGTCCATCACTGACGCAGTATTACGTGAAAATGTCAGAAAGTTTTTTTTGCATGTAGCTCACAGCTGTTAACAGTTAGTATGTCAACTCCTTCAGCATGGGAGTTGACATGTTAGTGTGATTACATGTTTACCGTGTTCTGTGTGAGGCTGCTTTCACCAAAACCATATAGCCTTCTCATTAAAGCTGCACACTCGACTCCAGTAATAAGATGCAAATGCTCATAACATTTCTGACTCTATGGTAAATTCAAAATAGGAAGTGGCATACAACTTGGAAGATTCTTCGGTGTATAGTAAGCATCAATATCTGACCACTAATGAGACATAATAAATTTGCAACTTCAGACATTCTGGGGAAAGTTCTTATGACACTCTCTGTCAACAAAAAATGGTTTATGTTGCATGAGCGCACTTAGAGACTGCATCTTGAATATGTAGAGTGATGTATAGTCTCATGAATAATATTACTAGGAGGATAAATATGTTTCCTTCCCTTAACTGACTCCCCCAGCCAATTTATGCGAAATAAAAATGTCAATTCTAAAGGAATAGTTCAACATTTTGTGAAATACTCACCCACTTTCTTGCTGAGACCTATATAAGATAACACACATTTGTCCTATAGATACAGAGCTATAGTCTTTGAGCTATAGCACAAAGACAAGCTACCCTGGCTCAGTTCAAAGGTGACAAAATGAGCCTACCAGCACTTTTGGAGTTCGCTAATTAACATATTATATCTTATTTGGCTAATATGTACAGAGATTAAAGTGTAAAAACCCCAAGTTTCACATAACCTCTTTTTAAAATTTGTCATTTTTACACTTTATCAACACTAGCCAGGCTAGCTGTTTCCCTCAGTTTCCAGTCTTTAAGATAAGCTAATCAAACCGGGTGCTGGCACAAGCTTCATATAGCCTAGCATACAGATGTGAGCAGTATATCAATCTTCCCATCTAACAAGACAGCATCGAGAGACTGAATAAGCACAAAAGCCAAAACTATTCCTTTAACACTTGCATAGCAACTCCACCATCAGAGGTTAAAAGACCTAAGTTTTGCTATTGGTACATAGCCAGTGTTAGCATCAATAGCTGTTTGCTTACCAGTCTTGCCATCTTCTGCCATTGTTGCTTGTACAAGACAAGAGATTATAATACGTCCACTGGGCAGTGCCTCTGCTTTGGGGCCCAAGGGATGTTACAGTGACTCGGAATTGGAAAGTGACAAGACAGGCCGACTGGCGCTAGCTGGTTAGCATGCGAACTTCAGTAGAAGCAAAGACGTGATAGAAATAGAAGCAAAACAAGAAGGTTGCTTTTCACCAATGGACACAGCTCTTTGCAAGTAAAGAGCCAAGATCTGTTATCTGTTAATGCAAACATTGACTATGTAGCAATAACAAAACTTTCAAATAGCTTGTTTAATGTGTGCTGGTGAAATCTTACACTGCTATACTTACACAATGTTGCTTCTTTGTTGTTGTTTTTGTTTTCTTGTGACACTGGTCTGTGCATGGAAAAACTTGAGCTAATTTCTCTGGAGTTGCTTTCTGCCTGTTTCCTTAACAACAGAGGGAAAACTCCCCCCACACCCACACCACATGCACCACACACATGCATTCACACACAACCACTGCTTTCTGCTTCCCTCCCTCCTCTCTTCCCTGAGCTTGCCCTTTTTAGGCTGTTCCTCTTTTTTTTTTTCGTCTGAAAAGGGGGATAGTATGACAGCTTTTCCTGCTTCTTGTGGATTGGAGCCGGGAGGGAGAAAACTCTGTTGCTCACTCCGTCTCCAACTTTGAGAGGAAGTTACCACCTCTTCCCCAGACTCTGTACACGCACGCTCAGGCAGACACACACGCTCTTCAGGACTTGACCACAGCAGCAACAGAGAATCAACAGAAACAGTCAGGGCTGCTTGTAGTGCTGTGTTTTTTTTTTTAATTTGGAGGGAAAGAGGACTAAGATTTGCAGTTTGCCTGAGGCTTTCTGTGCGGACTGAACAGTTTCAAAGGGACGGTTTTTGTTATCACTGACCGGTGAGTTTGACAGTTCATTTCAGTGTATGGGGAGCACCATAGAAACCCCAGTGAACCACAACTTTTCTGTTACTGAACTTTTACAATGGATGAACTTTTTTCTGCATTAGAGAGAGTTTAAAGTTTTATTGCATTGCAGCTCATGTGAATTAAAACTTTGGCAGGCTTGTTTAGAGGTGCGTGTGTTTGTGCTATAAAGTTTGATATCTGGTTTTCATCACAGCAGCGCAAGTTTTATTTCACGTGAAATACGAGTTCCTTATGTGAGTGTTTATATTAGAATAAACTGTGATAAAGAAGTGAATCAGAGTAGTGTTGCGTAAACACCTTCATAAAGCCTTTTTACGCATGATGCTGACTTTTTTCTTTTCTTTGTTTTTTTTGTTTTCTTTTTCAAGTATAGCTCTATGTTTCTGTCGGTATCAGTCCTCAACTGTGTAAATGCATAATAGTGTTGTCCTGCTAAATGTGTGTGTTTTCAGCATGTATTTGATGAACCAAAGAGCTGATGCAGCACTTATAGTTGGGACAGGGCAGGAGAACCCGAGTATGGCTTTCCTGTGCAGCTGCACATTATTGGCTAACCTTGCGGTGATTAATTAGTTGTCACCTTGCTACAATCAAAGCAAACATCCTGTCGCTTTTTGTATTTTTTTGTGTGGCCAGAAAGAACAGACGTCATATAATCAGAGAGGCGAGAGACATCACTGGACTACAGAAGGACGTTTTAAGAATGTACACATGGTCCATATGGCTCTATTTCTTTTTCAGCTGTTCCCCCTTCTTAAATGTGTCCATAGAAACATTAATGCGGAACAGTTAACCATATGCTTCAGCTCTCATAGCTATCTCTCTCTCTCCCCCTCTCTCTCTCTCTCTCTCTCTCTCTCTCTCTCTCTCTCTCCTCTGGATGGTTGTGGTTAGCACCTCTTATCAGGGAGAAAGCTAGGTGAAGGAGGAGGGAGGTGATGGGTGGAGGCTGGGCTGGGCTGGGTTACTCTCAGGGGTCTCCTTTAATTTATATTATCTGACTGGGCAGGCAGCACTTCAGCTGTGTCTCCTCCAGTCAATCAGATAACCGTCCATAGGATGAGTGTGAATACTCACTGTAGTTAAGTAACCCCTTCAAGGCTTCATGGCTGGAAAGAGTTGACTTCTGTATGACCTCTGCGAGCTCTTCGTGCCAGCGCACTTTCTTTTTTCCAAAACCCTACTGACTCACTTATCAGTTGGCCTGTCTTATCTGTCCTGAGGATGGTTGTTAACTTATTCTATTTACCCAGAGGTCAGAGGTCAGACTCTGATTTGAACTGCTTGTCTAAACTCCCAGGGTACCAATTTGTTTGCAGGGGAGATACAGAAGGTTTCAGCCTACACACAGTCAGGATAAGTGAAGAGAACAAAAACCCCACGTAGACAGATTTATACAGTGACAAGAAATAAACACAACCCCTTGCAAGAAAAAGTTCTAAAACATTATTCATAATTCTTGTTTTTAATGTTTAGCTCAACAGTGATGAACAAGAAATGCTCACAAAGCCAAAAACAGGGGAATGTGATGTTGCCATCTTGTCCACAGACAATGCATCTAGTTGATTTAGTAGGCTTACAGATGAGTTTCATCCTATGGCAGTGTTTTTTTTTTTTTCTTGCAAAAAATGCATCGTCATCACAAAAACCGTCCCAATGGATGTTCTCCCTGTCAACTGTATTTAGCAACTCCTTTAATTTAAGTTTCTCATTTAGAGTATGACTTGGGGAGAGCATTATTATAACAAGAAATAAATTATCTTGGGCTTTTGCAGATTGCATTAATAACAACTTGGGTATTTGCAATTAAAGTGTAAGTGCAGCGATTTAGATCATAATGCGTATATATATATATATATATACAGCAGCGGTCCCCAAACTTTTTTCAGTGGGGGCCACATCAACTTTCCTTTCTGAGATGGGGGGCCGAGGTTAGTCTATAACAGGAAATGATATGGGCCAGGGTGACAACCAGTATTACTGTGGAGATTACAATAATAATTTGTTGTAGCTGCCCTTCGTTTGGCTTTGGCACCACCTGTTGATTTGCAAAAAAAAGTAATAAAAAGTCTTCACATGTGTTTATTTGAAGTACCACAGATTCTCCATTTATTTTATAGAAAATAACAACACAAACTGATGGTAATGCCGGAGGGGGTGGGGTGCCGGTGGGCCGGCGGGCGGCTAGCTCTGCTTGCTGGGCGCAATGCCTGTGCCGGGGGGGCGCCGGCGGGCCACCATGGGTCATCTCTCATATGCTGAGGTGCCATGCCATTAAGACTAGTGTGAATGTCACAACGGAAAAGTTTTGTCAAAGTCCACAAGGTGTCTATGGACTCGGCTCGTCACGCTGAGTAACATATGTCAGCCCCAGCCTTCTGAGTCGCTCCCTTCCGAAGGGATGCCTCGTTAAATGTCTCCGAGGCCCGCTTGCTGTGACGAAAAATTTTGTCAAAAGTCCACAAATTGGGTGTCTATGGACTCGGCTCGTCACGCTGAGTAACATAT